GAGCATATTTGGGTAATTCGGACGAGGGTTCAAGGATAATCGTAACAGTATACAGAGACTTATCGAACATATTTCATGAGCCTCGACACACTGGCTGCGTTTCTTTATACATTCCGGATAATCCCATTTCACAGCCGGAATAAACAGAATGCGTTTGAAATATAAGTCAACATATCATCAGGAAAGTTCTAAAGAATAAATAAACAAACAAGCTTATTCCAAACGTTCAGAATGAATAAAGAAATGCAGCCACTAGTATTTTCAGGCCGTTTGAAAGCGGTTTTTCGCGGTCGAGAGGGGGCGAGAGGCTGAGGTAAACCACGATTGAGAGAATACAAAGGTTGCGTCGATCTCGGACCGCTATTCCTCTCTTAACGAATTTGACAGAATCGTTGTTTGCATGACGTCACACTGGTGCAACTTGTTTACATTTTCCTTGCAACATTTTTTCTTCTTCCATTCTTGCTCACGTTTTGGCATTTCTCTCTCGCAATTGCACCAGTGTGACGTCACACAAAAGTTATTCTCAAAAATCCTCTCTGATCGGCGCAATCTTGTATTCTATCATTCTTGGAGGTAAACTACTACTCTCTGCTCTTCTCGCCCGGTTTCAGACGGTCTAAAAAGACTAATGTGTCGAGGTCCGATATCTCTGCCACAAATTCCACTTGATTTTTGCGGAGCTGAATACACTTTACCTGCTTGCAGAGGATAACTGTAAAGTTTTTAATTCTCCATATTTTGAATTAATAAAGAGCGAAATACACCACACAAGCGGCTTGTCAAACATACTTCAAACCTGCTTTTGCCATTTTGCCATACACCACGCAAACTTCACATGTTTAAGCCATGAATTTTAGTTTTCTTCCGGTACACAATGTCAAAAAGTTTGGTTTTCTTAAATTTTTCTCCCTTACGCACTCACTCGGTATAAATTCTGTTGCAAATGATCATGAGTAAACATGGCGGCCGGAAAACTAAAGATTTTGATTTGACAACAAAAAGTGGGTTTGATATGACAAGCGGCTTGACAAACCAAGCGAAATATCCCATTACTTGAAGAAATATGTGTTGTGTATAAGGGTATTTGAAGGTTTGACAAGCCGCTTGAGGGAAATTTGAAGAAAAATCAAAATTTTTTGATTTTCTGGCCGCCATGTTGACGTTTGATTAAACCGCTTGTATTGTGTATGATAAAATTGCCTTATTCGCAATGGAAGTTTCTCCGAATGAGGACGTAAGAGAGAAAAATGGAAGAAAACCAAGCTTTTTTACATTGTGGACCGGAATAAAACTAATATTTTTGCTTAAACCAGTCATGTTTGCTTGGGGCATGGCGAAATATGAATAGCAAGGCTATTTTTCGCATAGTATCGTCAAGCCGCTTGCGTTGTGTATTCCGCCCTTTAATCACGTTTTATCGAAATGATAAACTCGATTTTTTCAACAAAACTACAACCCTAACCATACTGCATTCCGCGATGCCCTGAATAACAGCTGTTTTTATTTGGGTTTTGTATGTTTAATTATTTGTTCTTGTGTTATTTGTATATGAAATTCTTGTGATTAAATGTTTTGACTGTTTTCAAGGGTTAAAAAATGAATCCTATTCGAGGTAGTTTAGCCAGTATACCCGGAGC